CCCCCCCCCCCCCCCCCCCGCCCCCTTCTCTTGGTCGTGAGCTCTTTGGGAATCCTCTGCACGCACGGTGTTTCTTCACATCCCACTCAATCCTTAACTCTCATCTCCAAGACAGGAAACTCAGCCCAGCCTTGCTTAGCACAATGGGGGTTTTATTGGCAGGATGCTAGGAATCTTGCACGACCGTGGGAAGAAAAGAAGGAAAGGGATGCAGCTGGGCCACCAGATCCCCTGGGACATTTTTCTTGTGGCCCTCACACTCTCTCTACTCCCAGCTTCTTTTGGAATGATGTCATTCTTTCCTCCACGTTATGCCCAACTGCTCCAGACCCTTCTACCCCACGGCTCCCTTTAAGTCCAGTTTGAAAATCTCAGGGAAGGATTCTGATTGGTCCAGCCTGAGTCAGGTATCTTCCCATGGATCCATCAGCCATGGCCCCAGGAGGCAAAGTCCCATAGCTGAGACAAAGCCTCAGAGGAGAGGGGCTGTGAGCCAGCTTCTCAGCTGGCTTCTCCCTTACCAGCAGCATTTGCTTGAAACTCCTCTCATGCACCTCTCGGTGCCCCACCCACGTGGTACAGGCCTTACCTCTTCATCCCACTGCTCACACCCCACTTCACGCCTGAAGCCATGAGCTCTGCTCTGCCCGTATATGAAACAGGTCAGCAGTGCTGAGAGATTATGGCACCTCTGGCTGGCTCAACCGTGACCCTCGGGTGTAGGACCAGCCCAGCTTCCTCGAGAGGGCAAATGTGGGGGCCATAGAGATGTGCCCCCAGGTCCCCTTCAGGGAGGGACTTGTGGCCCCATTGTCAGCAGAAAACCACCTCTCCCCAAAGGCACTTCCTGGGGTAGCCGGCCTCCAATGATTGGTTATTTCATCCACCGTGGGACAACTCTGACAGGCTCTACACGCTTCAGCGTCTCCCATAGGGTCTGTCCAGGTTTGCCAGGCCAGCTTTGCCGTTCAAGCCCTCCCCCGTCCCAGTCCCACTTTCTCCCCCTCCTTTCACTGATGGCGGTCCTAGGAACTATCTCACATGCCAAACTCCATTTCGGTTTCTGCCTCCAGGGAACCTAACCTGTGATAGATACCCCTGAGCTATGTGCGTCACACCATCTCCCAGGGGTCCCTGTGGGATTGAGCACCAGTTGCCCACAGTGGGAACCAGCTTGGTGATGTTCCCTTTATTGGCCACCTTCCCTTTCCCATCCCACTTCCCCACTGCCCGTAGTCTCTAAATCTCCTAAAATCCACTTCCTCTCAAGTCCTTGTCTCAGGGACAACCCACACTCGGACACCAGGATTATTGTGAATTTTTTGCTAAATACAAGAATCGCAGCCTTTATCTGCAACATGTATCGCTGTGACCATGAGCTCTTCTTGAAGTGCTTTCCTCCCTCAGCTTGCTGGGTTTCTTGCCCCCTTGCTGCCCGCTGCTTTGCCCACCCTTCTTTCTCTGGCCACCCCAGAATTACAGCTTGGCTTCCTCCTAACACCCAACACATCCCAAGGGAATTCAGACAGTCTCCTGAAGTCGACCATCACTACACAGGGATGACCTACCCCGTCTGTCTCCTGCCCAGATCTCTCTCTTGAGCTCTGGACTCAGACATCCAACTGCCTCCAGGCCATCTCTACGTGGCTGTCCCACAAGTGCTTCAAATCAATATGGCAGGAGTAAATTAATCACCTTTCTTTAAAGCCAGCTTCCCCTCCTTACATTCCCCTTTTCATCAAAAAACATCACTGTTTTTTGTCCCCAAAGCCAGCTATCTGGGAGTCACCCAACCTCCTACCCATCTTCCCACTGCCCCATTAGCACTTGTCCTGGTGCCAGCCGACCTCCCACCTTCAGTCAGTCTCCCCATTCCCAGGCTCTGCCCTCCATTAGCATGTGACCTCGAATAACTCATCAAATCTCTCTTAGCCTCAGTTTCTACGTCTGTAAAATGGGCTGTTCATACTAGTACCCATTCTTTTAGAGTTGCTGCGAGGTTTAAAAGATATTGCACGTACAAGATGCTTAGAAAAGTATATGGCACATAGTAAGTACTCAGTGAGTGTTAGCTTTTTATTATTGTTTCTGTTTATCCTTGTGAAGGCCTCATCAATTTTCATCTTGTACTGTAGCCACTTACATGCCATCTTTAAATACCCTATCGGTTTGCAAGATTCTTGGGGGCAGTGCTATATCTTATTCATCTATCTATCCGTCTGTGACCAATTTCCCTCTCCTCCTACTTCCTGTCGGCCACACTTCCCCTCATATCTGGTAGCACTGGAGCAGCTAGGGGAATTTATTCTTATATCCAGCTAAGAGGAAGTTGAGTGGGGGGATGTATTTAATTTGGGTTCAGTGGGATAGTTTGTGTGTACAGTCGATCTTTGAACAACATGTGTTTGAACTGCAAGGATCCACTTACACACAGATTCTTTTCATGCTCCTGCATTTGCTATCTGAGGTTGGTTGAATCTGCACATGTGGAATCCACAGATAGGGAGGGCCGACTCTGGGACTAGAGCATACATGGATTTTAATATCCTCTGCTGGCCCTGGAACCAATCCTCAGAGACTGCCTTGGGCCAGCTGTATTTTTAAGATATCACTAGCCATCCCAGTGTAAGAATAGCTTCCAGAGACAGTCTCAGCACTCGCTGGATTGACTCCCCAGGTGATGTAACATGAGGACGCAGGCCCAGAGGTTGTATCTCAATGTAAACGTGTCCTATGGTACGCAGAACCAGAAGCATACAGGTAGTGGCGGAGAAACAAGGTGCAAAAGGCATGGAATCAGAAGATACTCTGTGGAAAACTCTTCCAATCATCAGACGAAAAATTCTAAGCAGGGGCAAGTTCTTACTTATCCCTAGATTAAAGAAATTCTCTCCTGTCAGGAATCTATTCAGCAAGGCAATGGATACAATTACGAATGTACCATATATTCCTTTTTCCTTTCTCACGGAATGTATGCGGAAGAGAATTTATCAGAATTCTTGCAGGGGACAAACCTATAGCAGTACAAGCAGTGAGTAGGTCTTTGTGTGAAGTCGCATGTTTTATCCACCCCAGTGATTTGGCCCACATCTTAGAGCATCTAATGCCGCTTGTTCTGATGAAGCCTGGCAATTCCAGATGAAACATCAGGCAAAATTGCCACTGACAC